ATGGAACGATGAGGATTGCCATAATTAATGTGCGCCTTTGCTTCTGTATTTCTCCTTTAATTACCATCGGGGACTTCACAGGAAGTGGATCCAGGTGCCGGCCTCACACTCTGGGGCCTCCAGGGGGCGCTATGGCCCAACACACAGCGTGGCCAAGCGCGCCTCTGCCTAATACACCACTTCGGATCTGTTTTCTATGGTTTGCACCCGCTCAGGGTTGACTGGGGGCGGTGAGGCGGGGGACAGTCCTGCTGATTTTTTAAAAAGCATTGTTTTATGACTAGGCCTACAGAAAAAAATTCCAAACTAACATGCACGGCATGTTAGGCCCCAGCATGACCCTCCAGGTGCCGGGTGTTAAAACCTTCCACCCTGAAGCAGGTGCAGCAAACCCACTCATTCTGCTCTGCTAGTCCTTCCACAGGCTGCTCCCGGACCCTTCCTCACCTTCAGGCCCAGGCCCTTCTTCTGTGCTTGTCCCAGGACTTGCTCACTTCTGTAACAGCCCAGGTCACTCCAGAGAGACATTGAGCATTCATGTGTCTCCTGCCACCTGACTGCGAGCTCATAAGGGCGCCACCTGGGTTTTATTATCTGCTCATTCTCTAGCACCAGCCACTCACAAAAACCCTTCTCTTGGACATGAGCACAAAAGGCCCTGAAAGGACAGAATGAGACCAGAGGCTCTGTCCTGAGGGTTTGTGCTGAGCCCCTGCCAGAAGAGAGTGGCATTCTCTGCAGGCATGCACCAAGCTCCCTCTGTCACCACCACCCCTCCAGCTTTCTGTGGTGCACCCCATCCCACCAAATTCCTTTCTCATGGATAAGATGCAGCAGTTGGAACAGGAAAATATACAAAGGAACTAAGATAAATAATGCATGGCCAGCACAGTGGCTCACACATATAAGCTCAGAACTTTGGGAAGCCAAGGCATGAGAATCACTTGAGGTCAGGAGTTTGAGACCAGCCTGGGCAATATAACAATACTTCTGCCTCAACGTGCATGGTGGTGCACAACTGCAATCCCAGCTACTTGAGAAGCTAAGGAGGGAGGACTTGATCCCAGGAGTTTGAGGCTGCAGTGAGCTATGATCACATGACTATACTCCAGCCTGGGTGACACAGTGAGACCCTGACTCTAAACACATAAATAAAAGATAGTAAAAATAAGATAACTAATGCAAAATAAATGCACATAGAGAGTTCCAAGAAACAGACTTTCACCTGGTTCTATAGCAGAGATACTCACCTCTGACCTCAAGTGCTGATCCAGAATTGCTCATTGACCTTCCTCCCTTCATCACTCCTTGGTTCAGCATCTCTAACACAGAAGCTCTTCTCTGGGGCTGCAGGCTCTGAGAAGCCTCAAACACCATCCTGGCTGGTTTTCTGTTCCATGTAGTTAGGATGGAACAGAAACCCACGCAAGCTGGGAGTCTGCCCCAGCTTATGACTCAGCCTTAACTCCGCCACTTCCCTGGGCTGGCTGATTTTCCCTTCTGCCACAGGTTAATTCTGAGCGCCTATCCCCCAAATCTACCTTGGGGACAACCTTCCAGAATGAAAAGCAATCCAACCAAAGCACTTTAATAATATAAAAAGGAATGCTGTAAATCGAGGGCATTCCCATGGGAAGGGCCAGTCAGCATGAAGGCTGGAGCTGGCAGAGAGGGAGCTGGGTTTGGGAAACGTGCGATCTGCCACTGTGGATAAGCAAGGAACTCACATGGCAAGCGAGTGGAGGGAAGGCTGGTCGGCAAGAGAAATTGGATCAGGCATCAAAGGGCCTAAAATGTTCCTAAACTAAATGCTTAATGTCTATTTGGGGGGGCCACAAAAAACTTTAAGTTTCTAAGCAGGTGATGGCTGAATCCAAGCAACTTTTTTTTTTTTTTTTTTTTTTTTTTTTAGATAGAGTCTTGCTCTGTCGCCCAGGCTGGAGTGCAGTGGCACCATCTCAGCTCACTGCCACCTCCGCCTCCCAGGTTCAAGCGATTCTCCTGCCTCAGCCTCCCGAGTAGCTGGGATTACAGGCACACGCCACCACACCTGACTAATTTTTGTATTTTTAGTAGAATCGGGGTTTCACCATGTTGGCCAGGCTGGTCTCGATCTCTTCACCTCGTGATCCACCCACCTTGGCCTCCCAAAGTGCTGGGATTACAGGCATGAGCCACAGCACCCAGCCCAAGCAACACTTTTTAAAACTGGCAGGAGGATGGGGATGTTTGGGGGTGAGCAGCCAGGGACGGGAGCTAAGGGAGGAGGCTGTGGGCAAAACTGGGAATTCCATATCTGTGCCAAGCCAGGGTGGAGTCCAGTGGAGGAAAAGTGTGTTCTGTTGTTAAAGATATTCTCTGTGGGCACTGGGGCAGGGAGGACAGGGAAGGGAGACTACTTAAGACATGACAAACAGGTAGCTGCAGGACAGGGAGGGAAAAGTATTGGAGATGACTCCCAAACTCCAAGCCTGGCGGGCAGCAGCAGGAGGTGCCTAGCACAAACACAGGGGAGTCAGGAAGAAGAGCTGGCTGGTTGAGAGTGAGCCTGTGGAGACCAGAAGTCCCTCTCCGGCCTAGGGGTAGAGCCTCTTGGGATAGGGAGCCTCCCTGGAGGCAGGTGCTCCTCTCCTCTCTGAGGCCCAACCCCAGCCTTGTCCTCACCCACTGCTGTTCGACTGACAGAATCGAGAATCCCATAGGGGAAGACCGTTTCCTCAAAGATGTTCTCGGAGACTGTGGAGGAACATGAGTTCTATGACAGGAGAACAGGAAGAGAGCGTGAGGCACAGCAGCCTAGGGTGCTCGGAGGACAGAGGAGAAAGACAGGGTGCTCTGCTCATCAGGATAGTTTCCTAGGTGTGTGTGAGGGTGTGTGGGAGGTCTGGGGGGCTGGGGGTGGGGGTGGGGGACTAGCACGCTGCTGCCAGGAGGTCCCAGGGCCCGAGGCCCAAGAGAGGCCACGGAGTCTGAGAGCAGAAGCAGGAAGGCAGGGCTAGAAGGGAGCCAGCCCACAAGGGCTCCAGGAGTGGCTTTCGGGGGGCTAGTCAGGTGTCCTTGGCAGAACATTCCAGTAAACAGTGTCAGACACAGAAGGGGCAGGAATTGAAGAAGGACGTGGGGAGGAGGGGACAGTTCTTTTAAGAATGGGGAGATCTGAGCAGAGAAAAGAGAACATATCAAGACACAATTAGCAGATGGGTGGGGTAACCTCAGGAAAGGCAGAAGTCAGGACTGAGCCAAAAGGTTCCACATCCGTCTCCACAGGGGAAGGCAGGGAGAAGAGAATGGGTGAAAAGACAGAAACGAGGAGGACCATGCACTGCTGACAGCGCCAGCAGGTTCCTGCCAAGATTCCCTGAGTCCTCTCCACTGGGTAAGAGGAAGGGTGTCTGCCGGAAATGAGAGAGCCAGAGGTGGGTCTGAATGCTGGGGAGGAGTGGAGCAAGTATGGAACAGCTTTGGGGGGCTTCTTATATGTAATGTGTGTACAGATCTTGGTAAATCGCAGGTTCTGATTCAGCAAGTCTAGGCAGGGCCTAAGAATCTGCATTTCTCACCAGCTCCCAGGAGATGTCAATGGTGCTGGTCCGGGGACCACACTATGAGAAGCAAGATTTAGAGAGGGAGATCAGGAGATGGAGAAAGACACTGGCATAAGAATTTGCCTTAAGGAGAGACCCATCTCTGATCATCCCACCTGGGGTAAAAGCAGAGACCTGAAGTCCTGGTGGGAACGGCAGCCCCCCGCGGGCGATGGGGAGAGGTGTAGAGAGAAGGGGTGGTAAAGAGGCTAGGGAAGGAGGTGAGACCTGTGTGATGGTAGGAGAACCAGCAGAGCCCCCGGGACGCCTCATCTGGGCCTGTGTGGGACAGAACACTATCTCACACTTGGAGGTCCCCCAAAAGAGGATGTGAGTCAGTTGGGGCAAGAAGGTGTTACTGGAGGGGTGTCTGAGCATGCACGTGGCTGGCAGGACAGGTGGCCTCCTGTTCTGCAGGAAAGTGCAGGACTCATTCTGGGCTTGCTCAAAGCCTGGCCAGGACAAGTGGGGAGAGGGGCAGAAATGCCTCTGCCCCGGGTCAAGGGCCAGGTGACTTCTGCGTCAGGAACTAATAAAGAAAGGAATGGAATCTGAGAGGGGACGCGGCTGGGGAGAAACAGGAGGTGAGCTGAGCTCTGAGCCTCCCTGTCCAACCTGCAATCAGAAATCAGGAGGTTCCTGAAAGGCACAGATGGAAACTGAAAAAGCTTTAGGCTTAGGTAACCCAGCATCGGAAACAGGGATGATGGATGCAGGGAACTCGCCCAGCTTGTCTGGGGCCCCAGCCTGAGAGAGAGAGACGTTTCAGGCCTTGGCTGGGGTTAAAGCGAGGTCAGGGTCGCCGGGGAAATGCGGGAGTACAGTCACGCGGGAGAAAAACGTCAAGAGCGAAAGCTCGGAGGCGTCAAAAAGAGCAGCAAGTCCAGGCACAAGGCGTCGGGCGCGGAGAGTACGGCGGGTGCAGGGGGAGGGAGACGAGGCGGCGAAGACGCCGGGGCTTCGTCCGGAGGCGACGGGGAGGCCGCGGAGGTTCCCGAGCGCGGCGGGGCGCGCACCTCCTGCTCCGGCCGGGCTCCTTCGCTGCTTGGCCCCAGGTCCTCCCTGTGCGGGTCTCCGTGGCCCCGGCCGCGCTCTTCTGTTCCCTCCCGCGGCCTCGGCCAGGCCGCAGCCCCCCGCCCCGGCGACCGACTCGCCAGGGTCCGCCCCGCCGCCGCGGCCCGGGCCCGGCCGCTCCTCCCCCGATGATGTCACGTCCCCAGCCGCCCCTCGGCCGGCCGCGCCGCCCCGCCCCCGCCTCCCCCGGGCCCCAGTCCCCTGGGCCCGCCCGCTCCCTACATCCCTCCTCCCGCCCGCGCTCCCTCCCTTCGGCTACCGCTCCCCCGGGAGCGGCGGCGGCGGCGGCGGGATGGCCCGGGCCCGCGGCCAGGCCCCGGGGAGCGGCGGGCGGCGGCGGCCGCGGCGGGGCGGCACGGGAACCGGGCCCCGGGGGGAGTCGGCCGGGCTGCTGCTGCTGCTGCTCCAGGTGCTGCCGCCCGGGGCTACGGCAGGGCCGGGGCGCCGGGGCACGCGGGGCGCCGGCGCCGGCGGCGTCTGCTGGCCTGGCGCGGCCCCTGCCTTTCCCCGGGACGCTGGGCTGCTGCTGTTCCTGCCGCCGCTGCCGCCACTGTCGCCGCCGCCGCCGCCGAGCTCCGCGCCCGCAGCCTCCGCCTCCCGGATGGTAATCAGCGCCCCGCGCTGGCGCCGCGGGCGGGCGGGAGGTGGGGGCGGCGAGGGGGAAAGGGCGGGCAGCCCCGCGCCCCCGCCTTGCCCTAGGCAGCTCCCGGGGCGCTCGGGCCCCCCCCCTCCGACGACCGCGGCCCCGGGCAGCCGCCAGAGCGCGCTTCTGGGGCGCCTCCGCGCGGACCGGGTGCGGGCTCCGCTCCCCGCCCTCCCCGCGGCGCTCGCAGTCCGCCCGCCAGCGCCCTGGCCGCGGGGGAATCCCTCCATCTCCCCGCCCCGCGCCCCAGGAGGGGAGGGGACAGCGCCAGCGCCCGCGGACCTGCTTTCTCCGAGGGAGCGCCCAAGAGGCGAGAGCACACGGAGCTGCCCCAACTCGACGCTGCGCTCCTGGAGGCGCCTGGTGCCGTCGGGTCGGGCAGAGCTGGACGCCCGCAGCCTCGGCGGGACCGGACGCCGGGCAGTGGGGGCGCCCACTCACTGCGCGCCCTCATGTTCCCTGCGCAGGACGCTCTGCCCCGCGGCGGGCTGAACCTGAAAGAGGAGCCGCTGCTGCCCGCCGGCCTGGGCTCCGTGCGCTCCTGGATGCAGGGCGCCGGCATCCTGGACGCCAGCACCGCTGCGCAGAGGTAAGCGCTCGGACCCGACCCGGTGCGCTCGGGTGGGACGGCTCCGCACCGCCTCGGCTCAGCTTGCTGAGCTGCTGGAGCCAGGGGCAGAAAGAGCCCTAACTCTGGACGGTTCCGGCGAGCTCTCCCGCCCACCCCGTCCGGAGCGCCGGTGCGGCCTCCCGAGGCTGTGGGGCGGGCCGGGGCGGGGCTTCTGCCTCTACTCCAGGCTGTCCCGGCGTGTTTCTGACGGCCGCTCGCGGGCGCGGCGGTGAACGCCACCCTAAGCCGGGCTGTCTATGGCTCTGAGGGAAGAGGCAGAACCCCGAGCCTTGACCCACAGCCACCGGCCGTCTAGGAACGTCCAGCCCCTCCTTCCTGGGCAGTCCCAATGCCTTTCCTTGTCCAATTCTGCAGCTCTCTGTCAGGAAAGGCGCGAGACCCAACCCCCTTTTTCCTTTCCCACGCCCCTCAGAGTTGGAGGATGGGGGTGTGCAGAGCCAGAGAAGCGGCTGGGGGCTGGACAGTGACGAAGAGATGAGGTGGGCAGTCGACCTGGCTTGACTGATTGGCCTGGGAACTGGGCAGGGGCCCTGCCTCTCCCTCAGGTGTTTTTCTGGCATGTCATGTGTAAGGCAGAGAGTCCATGGGAACCCAGCACCCACACCGGTCTCCTCTGACTTCTTTGCAGGGGTCTGGGAACCTCAGTAGGGGGTCGCCTCCAGGATTTGAAGGCGAACTTTTAAAGTTTATTGCCCCCCCCCCCCCCCCCCCGCCAAGCACCTACACCTTCCCCCCTCCCCCGGGCTTCTTGCACCACCAGCTGTGACCATGGAGGGAGGCTTTTAGGAATCCGATGGGGAGTCACCGTGGTTAGGATTAGGGAGGTGCCAGCTCTGCTGACAACTGGGACAGGGTGGGCACTGGGCTTCCAGAAGTGGTAGTTGTTGCAGCAGCCAGAAGGGATTCTGACTGGAGGCTTAGGGCCTACTGGGCTGACACAGGAGCCCACATTCACACCCCAGAGGACGCCTCGACCTCACCCTGTAACAAACACGCACCACGTTGCATGCCCAAACGGAAGCCCTTTCTGCACTCCCCTCCTTTCATGGCTGGCAGGAGGGAACGCTGGGGGCTCTGGAGCTGATCTATTCCGGAAGAGAAAGGGTCTTGTGAATGAAATAATTTCCAAAAGTTTTACAAGAGATATAGTTATATTCCAGAAAAATCTGAAGATAAAAAATGTAGTCCCGTCTTTACAACTACTGTCAACATTTTAGTGTATTTCCTTCCTATTTTTCCTCCCATTAACTTGTCTCTTTCTGTGCTAAGCTTACAATTCCACCTCCTGCCTATTCTTCTGTTGGTTCTGGCTTTTTATTTAACTTGAGATGGTCAGTTTCTTAACTTGGCCCCCTCTTTCTCCTCACCACCTGCTGTGTGGTGAAAGCTCTTTGTAAGAGTGGGTGAGGAGTGCTGGCAGGGGCCTCTGGGAGTTAAGGTTCCATTTCTCTGCAACCTGTCCCTCTGTGCCTACCCAGAGGCAGGTCTGATGATGGGGAAGCAGACGTGAAGGAGGCAGCGCCCTTGGAGACTGTGTGGGGTTCAAGAAGTGTAGGGATAAGGTTTCCCCCAGAGCACCGGCCACAGCAGTGGTGTCTGCACATAATGGGGTTGAGTGGGCTTGGGGTGTCCAGTCTGAGTCTCCATATGATTAGGGCCACCTTGCTGGGATGGAGAGGGCTTCTGCAATGTAAACAGGAGCATTTCTTCAGGCTTGGTCTGCTAATCCCCAAGTTTAGAGACTTCTGTCTCAGGACGTAGACTGGGAGCCCCCACACGTGGCTGACTCTCCTCCACATCCCACAGGGAGCCGCCGCATCCTTCCTCCTCACTCTTCCCCATGTCGTGTGTCATCACTCCGGTTGTATCTTGTTCTTCAGTCAGTCCTCTGCGCAGGTCTTCCCATCCCAAAACAGCAACAATGAAAATTCCTCCCCCTGGTCCTGCCTCCACCTTCATCCGCTGCCTGGTTTCTCTCCCTGTCATCTCTGAGAAACTTTCACGGAAGTGCTCTCCCAAAAGGCTGCCTGGGATCCGAGAGTTGGCTTTGACACCTTCCTCAGCCTCACCCCACAGTTGCCTGGGTTGTCAAGGCTTAGGAATGTTCCTTTCCATGCCCTAGTCCCAGTCTCAGTGCCCTCAGCCACCACTTTTGGCAATAAAACCCCACTGGCCCTCCACCCACTTCCTCCCTGGCTTGAAGGTTAACTGTACCCTGGTTACCACTTCAGTCTCTTGACCCAGGCCTAGCCCCAGCCCCTTACCATGCCCCAAAACCATCTTCTCTGCACTGGGGACCAAAGCAATATATCCAAAGTACTTTTTTCTGATCATGACTTTTTCTGATTAAAAATAAAGTGACCAGGCCAGGCGCAGTGGCTCACGCCTATAATCCGAACACTTTGGGAGGCCAAGGAGTTCACTTAAGGCCAGGAGTTCGAGACCAGCCTAGCCAACATGGCGAAAATCCATCTCTACTAAAAGTACAAAAATTACCTGGGCATGGTGGGGCATGCCTGTAGTCCCAGCTGCTTGGGAGGCTGAGGTGGGAGGATTGCTCGAGCACAGGAGGCAGAGGTTACAGTGAGCCAAGATCGCACCACTGCACTCCAGCCTGGGTGGCAGAGTGAAATTGTGTCTCAAAAATAAATTAAATACATAATAGAGTGACCACCGCCCATCCCCACTGCTTCCTCATGGGTATCTTCAGCATTCAAGGCCTATCACGGTCTGACCCTAGCCTTCCTCCCCAACCTCCTCTGCATGATACTTGGCAAGCTGTGGATACTTGGAGAATTAGCTGTACCTCCAGTAAGTCCCACGGTCTATTGAAACAGTCCCCCTGCCCACAGCACCCACACATCCACTGAATTAAGTCTCACCAGCCTCAGGACTCCCTCCCACACCTGCCGACCCCAGCACCTGCTCTGTCTCCCACCTCCCACCCTGCCCAGGGGAGTGGCTTTAGTGCTGCCTATGAATGCTTACCATAGGCCAGCATCTGCTGTCCTCTGCCTGTCCCGATCCTCCTTGCCCTGCCAGCTGGGGCCTTTCCCTAAGGCAAGAGCAGCGGTCCGTTCAGCCTTGTGTCCACAGCACCCAGGGCAGGCTCAAGCAGTCCACGTGGGGGTGGGGGTGATGACCGTCTGCTGAAGGAAGCAGGAATATTTCTCAGAGAGCTCCCAAGTCCCTTTCTGTTGGGTTCCCCTCTTGATTTTGGAAGGCTCCAAGTTCCAAAGGAGCTGATACCTGACCCAGGACTCAGCTACTAGAGCAGCTACTCCTGCCCAGTTCTACAGCTTGGCTTTTACAACAATGCCAAGATTTTTACAGAAGGTGGGTGGGGAAGAAAAGGCCCAGAAGGCCTGCTAAGATCAGCCAGGGAGGCTCTGCCAACAGGGAGGAATGTTCTGAGCAAAAGAGGGGTAGGAAGAGCAGAGGGGCTGCATACCCTTAAACCAGAGGCAACGGGGATGGGAAGGCTGGTGGAGAGGGCTTCCCTCTCCCTACCAAGGTCTTCCTACAAGGGAAGTCTGCACAAGGACCCCTACCCCTGCCCTGAGCCAGCAGGACTTTATCTCTGAGATCCATTTGCCCAGCCCCAGCTCATCTTCCCCTGACTCCCCTGAAGACCCAAGTCCTCCTGCTGGCAAACTCAACCCAGAAGTAGCTCTCTTCTTCTGATGTGCTTCACAGGCTGGGGAGACCTCTGGAGGGCCCAGGCCAGACCTCCCGCTGGAGGAGACCCCTGGAGGACCCAGGCCAGCCCTCCCACTGGAGCTGGTCCCTGCACACTAGCTGAGAGGCCAGCTGGGGCTGCCTTTCCTGTAAGCAGCTGCAGGCTAGCATCCCTGCTAGGAAATGCTTTTGTTTGCTTTAATAATTCATAGCCGATCCTCAGCCTGGGACCTGGCAGGCAGGCCTGTGGGTGGGTGGTGAGAGGGTGGGCAGAGAGCGGTGGAGTGGGGAGTCTTTAGGTAGAATTGAGGGCCAAAGGAAGAGGGGAGAATGAGCCTGTGAGATCCTTCCCCCAACCCCCACTTTCCACCCCTTTCAGGAACTTTGGTCACTATGCCAATTTCCTGGGGCAGGAGAGCAGGGCAGATGCTGGGGCAGTGGGAAGAGGGGATAGGGACCCTCTCCAGACCCAAACCTCCTCTCCAGCAGGACCATCTGGACACAGGCTCTGGGCAGCTGCCTGCAGCCTCCAGGCCCTCCCTGTGCAAGCATTGTTGAGGTGGGTGTGCCCCAGTGAGCTGCTGCTTTCGTCTTCCCCAGTCTGCAGCACAGCCAGGGGTTGGGCATGTCAGGGGCTGGGCAAGGCCAGGCCAATAGATCTTGTCTGGGGCCGGAATGTCAGGCCCAGCTTGATCATCAGCAGCAGTTCTGGGGACCAGAGGATGCCTGAGGGGAGAATGGGGGCCAAGGGGATGCTTGGAGGAAAGGGGGTGTGCAGAGGAAAGGGACTGATGAAGCCTTGCCGTGATGGGGCAGAGAAGAGCGGGACTTAGCAGAGAGAGACTTTGGGGAAATCTCGGAACAGGGATGAGTTGCAGGAGTCATACTCTTTTTGCTCCTTCCACTTCCTGGGGTGAGGGGTGTCAACAAAGAGCCCCCCTCCATTACTGATGAAAGTAGGGCTTGTCCCAGACACAAAGACAAATTAAGCCCAGACCAAGGCATGGCTTAAAACCTTAAGTTATCAGGGCAGTCAGGAGTTATCAGGGCACCAAGATTTGGTGGGGAGAAGGGACGGCAGGAGGCCTGGGGGTTCTTCTGAGAGGAGACCAAGGCTCCAGCCTCAGTCACTTGTCTTTTGTGGGATTTGAGCTGGCTGTAGTTAAATTGCTCACATTTATAACAAGCATGTAGTCAAGGAAGTGAAGAGCCATGAGTGGCCTTAGGAGAGAGAACAGAGACTGTGAAGGGGACTTTGTACCAGACAGTTGTGCTGTGGC